AGGCGGCGGTGGGCCCCGGGGAGCTCCGCGGGAGCTGACGGTGCCTTCTGGTGGAGCCCGGCCGCCGGCGGCGGCGGGAGCGATGGAGATGCAGTCCTACTACACTAAGCTGCTGGGCGAGCTCAACGAGCAACGCAAGAGGGACTTCTTCTGCGACTGCAGCATTATCGTGGAGGGGAGGATCTTCAAAGCGCACAAAAACATTTTATTCGCCAACAGCGGCTATTTCCGAGCCCTGCTGATTCACTACATCCAAGACAGCGGACGCCACAGCACCGCCTCTCTGGACATTGTCACCTCGGAGGCCTTCTCCATCATCCTAGATTTCCTTTATTCCGGGAAGCTAGATCTCTGCGGGGAAAATGTTATCGAGGTGATGTCTGCGGCTAGCTATTTGCAGATGACCGATGTGGTCAACTTCTGCAAAACGTATATAAGGTCATCGTTAGATATTTGCAGGAAAATAGAGAGAGAAGCTGCTTTCTATCAGGCTGATAGCGGGAGCGCTGGTTCTGCGAGAGAGGGCACCTCGTACAGCTCCAAGAGCCAGTGCTCTGCCTCTGTCTCTTCCCTGCAGGAAAAGGAAAGGATTTCGGATTGCCAGAGAGATCCTCCCTGCGGCGAATGCAGCAGCTGCCATCCCCTGGAGCTCGTGGTCAGAGACCCCGTAAGCAGCGACTCTCCAGACGACGTTAATTCTTCGCTGCCCAAGGGGGTGGAACCCAAAGTAGAGTTTGACTCGGATGAAGTGGAGGTAGAAGTGGGCGAACGGCTGCCGCAGTATCCGACCCCGTTGTCGCTGGAGCAGATGGAAGAGGGGCTGCACGGCGGGCAGGCGATGGACCTGGCCTGCAATAACTATCACATGAAACAATTCCTAGAGGCCCTGTTGCGCAACAGCTCAGCTCAGAGAAAGGATGACGTGGTTCATCACTTTGTCCGGGGCTTTGAGGGTAGGCCAGAGGATGCAGGGGTAGCCATGAGTTCCATGATGGACATTCACAGCGACTGGTATGGTGAGGACACAGGTGAGAGGACTCCAGGGGGGCGTAGTCTGTATAATCGAGGAGGAAACGGCTTAGTTGTGCGACTTCCCTTGTTACTCTCGTTCTTGTTCAGGAATATATTGCTGAATATTATGCCGTAGCAAAATAAACTATTGTTCTGGACTTCAAAAGAAAGCTGTACTCATTTATTCAGTGCAGCGCTTGGGAGGTAAGTATTTCTCACAGCTTTTACGGTCTCTTTGAAACAGATCCTGGAGCTTGGTGTTGGTGACGCTGCTTTAATAAACAATCTCCCTTGGGACCTTGTTGAATGGCAGGCGAATTTTTAAAAAGAATCTTCCTCTCATAATGTCAGTGTTATAAAGAGCAATCGGAAAGATAAGTTGAGCTGCCACAAGAGGGATCTGCTGTAGAACCTGACAGACCAGAAGTAGCTTATTCCACTGGAGCTCCTGCCAGCGCATCGGTTGCTGGATGATAGTCTGGTTGCTGTTACTTTGAACTTCAAAAGGGCAGAAATCAGTTTTATTCGATACCGAGTGATACCTAGAAATTCTTTAAGAGCACTGAAAGCTTTAAACTCTGTGGTATTGCATAAAGAAAAGACTTGACTTTTACCTCTAGAGGCAGACTCGCTTTCCAGCTGCTGGGCACCTGAGGTTCCACTGCTTTCCCAAGCCCAGCGCCTGTTGGGATGTCTCTCGCTGGCAGGAATGTCTCCTAGCAGCAGTCTCGGGGACCTGGAGAAGAAGGAGGTCACGTGCATACGCAGTTCTCCTGAAGCGGACAATAAGGATTTGGGCATTTTGTCTGCTTACAGTAACATTGGCACACAACTTGCCTCAGCCAAACTGCCTTACGAAGACGGGAGGCGGCTCTGACGACAGCTGCAAGTGCCATAGCTGTTCGGGATGTGACAAATGCAATAACGGTGTGGGCAACAGACAGGACATCTTTCACTGAATGTTCGACTCTAGATAGCAAGCTTACATTCGTGTCACTTCCAGCTCAAGCATGCGCGTGTGATCTTAAAGCCAATAAAACCGATATATTCTCTCACTGCTTTAAGGAATCTGATAAAATCACAAACACAGTCTTACGGTCACTAAAAGACTAAAGTTACCAGAGGGCTGTCACCAGACCATGCCTATGGTTTTTGACGTGTAGCAAGGCAAGAGCATCTAACACACAAACTTGGCTTACTTTTTTCCCCTCTTAAAATCTTCAGACTGTTAATGAATCATTAAAAGGGAAATGCTTCTAGAATTCGATAGAGAACATCAGGTGTTATGACAACGTATTAGCAACGTTAATGGTAGATGTGCTTTAAATAGGAGTGGGGGGAGAAATCCAAACCTTGCATTCAGTTATGTTTCTCTGCTAAAACTGAACATCGTAAGCATTTAGTAGAACGGGAGTATCTCTTCTCAGCTTTTAGTGCTCCTGCAATCTTAGCATTTTCACAAGACGCCAGGAATGAGAAATACAAAGTCCTGAGAAAAGAATGCTTCTCTCATGCATTCAGGCTGACGGGTGAGACAAATGCCACTTACTTTCAAGTGTCCACGTCTGTTCCAGTCATCCTGGTCCCCTTTACAGCTGGTGGGGGGTGAACGGGCACCTGGAGAGAGCCTGGAAGCCAGGCAGGTCTCAGAACTGCTTTTCTTTTTTTTAAATGGAGCTCTGAAAGTCCAGCAGGGATTAGCAAGACCTTGTGAAGGTCCAAAACTGGGTGAGATGAATTTCACTCGGTAGCCACGCGTTAATACTAGCCACTCCTTTTTTTGAGACTGGGTTGGAAGAACTCCGGTACAAGGAACGTTCTACAGCCCCACCTACTTCGGTGTAGCTGTTGAAGAGCTCAAGGCTTGATGAGCAAACACTTCCCTGAACTAGGGAAAACTAAGCTTTTAGTAGAACATCTCCACCTTTATGCTGGAAAGGAAGCTCGTATCTGGGCTGACGGTGAAAAACTTGGCAATACCTATGTTTATATAAAATGTGATCTTCAAATTTAATTCTCTGGTTTTGCATCTGACTTCATAAATTACGTATTACTTGTAAAATGTCTGATTTTAGGAAAAGTAAAATATCATCAGCAAATGTATTGGAGTCCTTCATCTTGTTATTTCCAATAGAAAGGCTAAAGTGAATGGCAGTAGAAACAAGCGTTCATATTTTCAGATGGGTTCCCCACATCTAAATTTATGTACGTTGTAAGAGCGTATGGGAAACATTGCACTACTTCTACCTGTAATTTGTGTTAAAGATTTTTGTTTCTAATGCTGTTTAATGCTAATGGTATCTTAAAAAAAAAAAAAAGTAAGTAGGAGACTTTCTATGGCTGAGATAGTGCAGAGACCCCACTGCACTAAAAGCAAATTTTTGGCACTTAATTAAACGGCTTCTTAAAATAAAATTGATTTGTTTTTCTGTTGTGAGCCAACTCCCTTAGAGCATCAGCTATGTAAGTATAGGCAAGCTGATTTTCAAGGGACTTGATCATCTGCAGCTGCATGAATGTCTTCTGAAATTGCACAACCTACAGAAATTCCAGGTAAGCCAAACGCAAAAAGAGGGGAAAGTCAATTATCTTGACTCAGATTTGCAGCAAGGAGGATAAGAAGCCAAGAGAGCTAACATCGGTGAGCTGCCTAATCTAATGCACTGTGTTTTCTTTCAAAAGGTGATGTGTTAGTTGTGCCGATCAAGCTTCACAAATGTCCCTTCTGGCCCTACACGGCCAAACAGAAAGGAATACTAAAACGGCACATTCGCTCTCACACAGGTGAGAGACCCTACCCCTGTGAGACGTGCGGGAAACGTTTCACTCGGCAGGAGCACCTTCGGAGTCATGCTTTAAGCGTAAGTTTGAAAGATTATCAGTCAATTTTGAACAGGTTTTGGCGTTTCCCGATTGTATTTCCCAAAATATGTTGGACAAAATGATTGTTGCCAACGCGAGATAAACTTTTCTAATAATACGTTTAAGCCACTGATCGATGGTTCATTAGTACTTATGGAGCCCCGAATCTTTGTTGCTGGAAATGGGATGGGATCATCTGCCCTTTAGCTTAAGTGTAGATGTTTTTCTGTTCTAGGGATATATGCAAACCAGCACCCCAGGAGCTAAAGCAAGAAGGCAGATTGCCTTTTTTACCATAGTTTTTTATTTTTAAATTCAGGTGCATCGCTCGAACAAGCCAATTATCTGCAAAGGCTGCAGGAGGACGTTCACAAGTAGCCTGTCTCAAGGATTACGACGCTTTGGCTTGTGCGACAGCTGCACCTGCGTGACCACTACCCATGAGGACTCGATGCCCATTA